ATGATCAGGTTAGACCAGTCAGTCAACACTCATCTTCTGCCCCTGAGGTTGCAGTATTTCTGCGGTTACCACGAGCACATGAGGGTCTGCTTTGTGAGCAAAGGGAGGGGTGGCCACTGGGCAGGGTCTGCTCCTTCACACACCACGCTGAGCACTAGATCTGTCTCTTGTTCCATCTGACCCTCATGCAACCTTACAAAGCCAGGGGCCGTGTTACCTCTATTTAGTAGACAGAGCCAGTGGGTGGCAGAGCAGCACCTCCTTCCTGCTGGATCATCGAGGCCTCGAAAGCAGAGGGGAAGCAGGTCCTGCCCAACGGGAGTGCTGGCAGGTGCCGAACACCTTCACGTTATCCTCATCTGCCACTTTGGTCTGAGTGCGCAGCTCCCAGCACCTGAGTGGCCAGGTGCTGACAGGCTGACGGACGAGTGCTTCGTGCCACGGTGCTCTGGGAGCCAGGGCAGGACCTGGACAGAGCCCTGCAGTGCGTCCCTCCAGCCACGTAACGTCTTCCGTGCCTGGCTCCAGCCAGGCCCGGGGGGCACAATTCCGGTGACTTGGAACAGATCCTGTCTCAGAGAGAGACTGCTCCAGCCCCTCCTAATCCGAGGGACTCAGGGTGAATATTTGGATGGATTCCGAGGAAGAAAAGCAGCCTGCTGGCCAGGAGGGCCCCAGGGGCAATCTTTCTATTCTTCAGAGTTTTTTTTTTTTTCAAACTGAGGCAAAATATGCATAACATAAAATTTGCCATTTACTATTTTTAAGCGTACAGCTCCGTGGTATGAAATACATTCAGAGGGTTGTGTAACCAGCACCATCATTCATCTCTGGAATTCTTTTCATCTCAAGACAACTGAAACTCTTTGTCCTACTAAATGCTAACGGGCATGCTCCCCTCTGCTACCCCAGGCAGGCCTGCGTCCACGGCCCAGCTACAGGCGTCCAACTGCATTTGTCCTTGTGTACTGGACTTATCTCACTTAGCATCACAAGTGTAGGGTATGTCTCAGAGTAGCTTAGCAGAATTTCCTTCCTTTTTTAAAGACTGCATAGTATTTCACTGTGGATGGCCGCCATTGTTTATCCACACCCACCAATGGCTGCTTCCACCTTTGTCTGCTTCTACCTTTGTGCTGCTTGAACACAGATGTACATCTCTCTTGAAACCCTGTTTTCAGTTTTCTTGGGGGTTTTACTCATTATGGAATTGCTGGGTCCTGACTATCCTAATTCTATGTTGATTTGTGTATGTGTGTGAGAGAGAGAGAGAGAGAGACCCAGTACTGGTGTTTAAACTCAAGGCCTGATTGCTATCTTTTAGTTTTATTGCTTAAAACTGGCACTCTATCATTTGGGCCATACCTTTACTTCTGGTGGTGGCTTATACCTATAATACTAACCACACAGGAGGCTGAGCTCTAAGGGTTGTAGTTCAGAGCCAGCCCAAGCAGGAAAGTCTATGACACTCTTATTAATCACCAAAAAACCAGAAGCAAATTGTGGCTCAGGTGGTAGAGTGCTAGCCTTGAGCAGAAAAGCTCAGGGACAGTGCCCAGGTCCTGAATTCTAGTCCCAGTACTGACCCCTCCCACCCAAAAAAAGAACCAGGTGCTGGTGGCACATGCCTGTCATTCTAGCTACTTAGGAGGCTGAGATCTGAGGATCATGGTTCAAAACCAGCCCAGGCAGGAAAGCCTACAAGACTGTTAGCTCCAATTAACCACCAGAAAACCAGAAGTGGTGTTGTGGCTCAAAATGATAGAGCACTTTGAGTAAAAGAGTTCAGGGGACAGTGCCCAAATTTTGAGTTCAAGCGCTATTCAAAAAAAAGTCTCACAGACTTTTTCATCCAGGCTGGCTTCAAACAATAATACTCATATCTCAGCCTCCTGAGTAGCTTAAATTATAGGAGTGATCCACCAGTGCCCAGCTGTGTTGTGAGTTGTGTGTATGTGTGCGTGTGTGTGTGTACATGAGTGTATGCCTGGGCCCTGGTGGCTCATACTTGTAATCCTAGCTACTCAGGAGGCTGAGATCTGAGGATCATGGTTCAAAGCCAGCCAGAGCAGAGTCTGTGAGACTCTTGCCTCCAATAACACCAGAAAACTGGATGTGGCACTGTGGCTCAAGTGGTAGAACACTCGCCTTGAGCTGGAGAGCTGAGGGACAGCTCTCAGATACAGAGTTCAAGCTACACAACAGCCAAAAAACAAACATACAAAAACCACAGAAGTGGCACTGTGGCTCAAGTGGTGGAGCACTCACCTTGAGTACAAAGAAGCTAAGACAGTGCCCAGGCCATGAGTTTAAGCCCCAGAACTTAAGAAGCTGAGTCCTGAAGATCAAGGTTGGTAGCTGGCCCAGGCAGTCCTGACAGTTCAGAGCTCCTGGCATGGAAGAAGGCTGGACATTACATCTGGGAATACAACACTGGAGTTGGCAGACAGGGGCTAAGCCTCATGGGTACCTGCCTTTTTCATTTGCCACAGCAAGACTCTGCCAGGTGCCTGAAAGGGGCTCCGGGTCCAGTGAGCAGAGTGCTGGAACAGCGCCTGGACAGAAGATGTGTGCAGAGCATGAGCCCAGAGCCTGCTGGGAGCGTGGGCTCTGTGTGTTTCCAACTTCCTGAGCCTGTGCTGTGATCAGCCATTTGCTGGCTGCTGAGAGGAGAGAATCATACTTCATACTGGCCAAATATGAGCCAGGAGCAGGATGGGTGGAAGGATGGCTGGCTGGATAGATGGATAGGTAGATAGATGATGGATGGATTGCTTGGTGGATGTGTGGGTGGATGGTGTGTGGATGGATGGTTGGATGGGTGGATGGATGATAGGTAGATGGATGGGTAGGTTGATGGGTAGATAGATAGCTGGTGGATAGATCAGGTGAATGAATGGATGGATGGATGATGAATAATGGATGAGTGGATGGATGATGGATGATGGGTGGAAGGATGAATGGATGATGGGTAACTGGGTAGATGGCTGGTGGATGGATAGATGTAAATGATTCAGTGGATAGCTGATGGGAGGGTGAACAGGTGGATGATGGATGATAGATGATTAGGTGGATGGATAAGCCATTGGATATGGACAATGGATAGATGGTGAGTGAATGAGTAGATGGATGCTGAGTAGTGGATGGAGAATCGATGGGGATGTTTGAACTTGGAATGAGATGATGGCAGATTCACTAAGAAGGAAGATTCAACATGGCCCAGCCCCTATGACTGCTGTGAACGCGGCCTTGCCGAGAGGCTGAGACCTCCTTGTGTTTAGTGACACCCAATCTACTATGTGGGTGGGGCTCAGCCGGGCGAGCTGTGACCTGGGGCGACTCCACTCCCCTCCCCCAAGTACTGATCTTTATGCTTACGTGCTTTTACCACAGTCTGTTGAGTGCCTGGGACATTCCAGGCACCTTCTAGGCTCCAGAGACTGAGTGTTGACTCAAGGAAGTCCACATGGCCTTCCTGGGGCTGCTGGGAGAGGCAGCATGGCGGGGCACCCTCCCCTAACATGGAGTCTGGAAGAACGCCATGTTGGTGCAATGGTGGTTCTGACACCCACAGAATACCCACCAGGCCCTGAAGAACCTCAGGCTGGCAGCACAGGCATCTGGGATGACGCAGGCAGCTCCGTCAGGAAGTGTCCGTGGCATGCCAGCTGTGGACAGCTGTCAAGATGTAGCCTGTGTTGGGCCCTGCGGCTGTCCTTCCATTGCTATAGTCTGGGAAAGCTGCCTCCACCACCACCACCACCACCTCCTCCTCCTCCTCCTCCTCCTCCTCCTCCCCCCCTTCCCTCTCTCCTCCAGATCCTTCTCTGGTGCCTAGAAACCTACCAGGCCCTTGGGTCGAGGGAGGATCCTGTATTAGAGCAGGCAGGCAGGACAGTTCATGGGCACGGTGGCACGGTGGCCACGCTGTTGGCTGGGAGCCAATCATGAGACTGCTCTGGAAGGTCTGATGGTGATGGACCTGATGTGCAGGGCTCAAGGTGTGAGTGACAAGAAAATCAACCAATCACAGGAGCCCACAGCCAGGCAGGCTATCCTCCTGCCACCCCCCCCCCCCATGTCCTGGGCAGGAAGTTCACTGCTGCGAGCTCATTATTCAGGGGCCAAATGGCTTGAGGTTCTGATTGCCCCAAGAGAAGCCAGTTGCTCAGATGCCCTGTGGGCTTCTGTTAGCTCTGGCCCAAGCTGCAGGTGGAGCCCAGGACACTGTGTGTGTGTGTGTGTGTGTGTGTTTGCGCAAGCACGTGCGCACGCCTGGGTGCTATCCCTTAGCCTTATTTCACTCCAGGCTGGCACTCTACCACTTGGGCCACAATTCCAGTTCTATCTTCTTTACTGGTTAATTCTCCATGAAAGTCTCAAGGACTTTGAAGCCCAGGCTGGCTTCAAATCTTCATCCTCAGGATCTCAGCCTCCTGAGTAGCTAGGATTACAGGGCAGAGTATCTTTTACAGGCTAGTGCCAAGTCTCCTGATGGAGAAAACACAAGAAGGCTGGGTGGAGCTTTGAGGCCTTGAACCCATCCCCAGCCCCAAGGAAGAGTCTCAGGTTGGACCTTGGGGGAAGTGGGGGCTACAAGGCCCCTCCCATCAGGAGACTTCAGCCAGGTTAGGCTGTGATTTGCTCAAGGCCACACCCTATCCAACTTCCAGCCGCTTTCCTCTCAGTCCCCAGCTCCTTGGTGACTGCCCTCAAAGCATCCTGGGTGTTCCTGGCCACCCACGACACTGAGGCTCCACTTCCCTTTGGGAGAGCCCAAGCTGCCAAAATCCATCAATATGTGTGTGTGTGCATGCGCACGCGAGCACGCATGAGCGACGGCGCTGGGCCCCCCGGAGTGAGAAGCAGGCAGCAAGCTGTTGGCACAACCTGCCAAGGCAGAAAGGTTAATTGTCACGCGCGATGCCAACACAGACTCTCGGCAGATTCATTCGGTTGTTGTTTTGTGGTTATTTTTTTTTACAACTTTAAATACGGAATATAAATAAATTTTACATTTAAAAAATAAAAGGAAAGCCCCCCAAAATATAATCACCGACTTTACAAACTGAAGGAAGCGGGGAGGGGGAGGGGAAAGTGCAATTGGGAAGGGGGGGAGGAGCTGGGAGCTCAGATGGGGCTCCACCCCCCCCATCCTCTCCCTTCTCTCCCCGACTTCCAGCCCCTAGCTGGCCTCCTGAGAGGAGCCCCCAGGTAGACCCCATGATCTGAGAAAGGGCAAGGCCCAGGGCTGCTCCTCCTTTGGGGACCTCCAGGCTTCACACAGCTGCCAGGAAAGGGACTAGCTGAGAAGTCGAGGTGATGGCTAACAGCGAGTCCCATCCCTGTCCTCTCCCCCCCCCCACAGACTCCTATCTCCCTCCCCCTCCAGGCCACAGGCGGGGTCAGGGCACCGCCAGGCCTCAGTGAGCCCACAAAGGTGTGACCCACCATCGGCCAGCAGCCGTGTAATAAACAGCCACATGAACACACTGGCCCTGTCCACGGCGTGACGGGTGCTCGCACTCGCAGTGCTCCAACCGTACTTGGTGGTCTCGGCTGGGGTGAAAGACGATGGACAGATCTTCTGCCCTTAAGGAAGCGTGAGTGGGGTGATTGGAGCAGGGGGTGTCCAAGTGCCTCGCAATGGAGCAGACTGAAGAGCCAGGAATAGAGGAAGACATGGGGTGGAGGTAGAGGAGGAGCAGGGGTGGTGGGTCACCGGCGACATTCACCTCAGGACCAAACTCCGCCTCTACGTAGCCCCTCGGCCACTGCCAGGGGAGGCCACGCCTTTGAAGATTTCATACACACACCATGAACATGTGAATAGAGGTTACAGGGAGAAGAGTGAGGAGATGATCTGGGCGTGGTGGGGGGTTCTCTAGTCTGTGTTCCTCACGTGGTCTTAGCCACCAAGGTACAAGGTACCCCAACCTGCCTGGAGGTGTCACCTCAGGCTAGCCAGGGTCCACAGTGCTGTGGGGGGGCCGCTTGGGCCATCCGAGAGCCCCCACTGGGGTGTGGCTAGGCCAGGCGAGAGGGACGAGGCGGGAAGCCCCGACCCCGTCAGTCTCTTGCACACCTGTCCAGGTTCCTGGGGTCGAGGCGGATAGAATCGAGGGGGGTTCAGTCCTTGTGATTCCTTCTGGAGCTGCCCTGGAGCCGCAGAGGAAGCCGCTGGTGGACGGATGGACAGACGGACGGACGGACGGACACGTGGGGTGGGGGGAGCACCATTGGCCGTCCGAATCAGGCATCGAGACAGACGGATGAGGGGGACAACATTATCACTCCTAGGACCCCATGGGGGCGATACAGCAAATACCATATTAAATAACCCTGTGGGCCAAGCAGAGGGACAAGGGGAGTCAGAGACGAAGAAGGGGACCACCTCACCCCACACCCCTTCGTGCCAGGGCCAGGGTCCATGGAGCACTGGACCAGCCATGCTGATTTTTACAGGGCCCACAGGCGGGAGAATCTGGGGGCCCATTTCTCCCAGAGAGCCTGTGAGCACAGCTAGGTGAGCCCTGGAGGCCTGACTCCAATACTCTTCCCCAGCCCAAGCCACCTTCAGCCCAAGCTACAGGCCTCAGTTTCCCCAGCAGGCTCACCTGCCCACACTTTCCTGCCGGCGCCCCTAGGCCCCCAGGGTCTCCTTCAGTGCCGTCTTATCATGCGTGTGCTTGAACTTCCGGTGCTTCCCTTTGGGGGGCCGGCGGACCCGCACTGTCCGAATGGTCACCCGAGTTTGAGGCATCTTACCTGCCCAAGAAGAAGAAGAAAGAGCTGGTCAGCACGTGGGCAGCCCTTGGGTCCCCCCACATCAAGGCCGAGGAGAGCCTCCCCTGCTCCCCATCAGGCTGGAACCAGCTGTTTGTGCCCTGAGGACAGCCATGAAACCTCCCCATGCCTCAGTCTCCCCATGAGATGCCCCCTCCCCAAAGGCCTGGCCTGCACAGGCAACACTGTTTGCTGAGTGCCTGAGCCAGGTTGTGGGGCTTGAACTCTGGGCTTCGTCACTGTCCCTGAGTTTGTCAGCTCAAGGCGAGTGCTCTACCACTTGAGCCACAGCACCACTTCCGGTTTTCTGGTGGTTTATTGGAGATAAGAGTCTCATGGACTTTCCTGCCTGGGCTGGCTTTGAACAGCGACCCTCAGATCTCAGCCTCCTGGATAGCTAAGATTACAGGTGTGAGCCACCAGCGCCCAGCAAGGGTTGGGATTTCTTTCCCTGCCCCCAGCAGCTGGCAGGAGGCAGAGGTGGGACTGTGCCCACCCCAGACAGCCCTCACCTTATCTGGACTCCTTGTCCTGTCACAGGGAGAAGTCTGCCTGGGGTACCACTTAAGGTGGCTTAAGTGGTAGAGTACCAGTCTAGCAAGCACAAGGCCCTGAGTTCAAATCCTAGTACTTCCTTACTCCTTACCCCCCAAAAGGGTCTGCAAGTCCTGCTGCAAAGGCCAGGTGAGAACTGGCTCTCCTGGACTCCAGGGACAGGGGTCGAGGCCCAGCTGTCCTAACCCTAACCAGGCCACCATGGAACTGCAATCTGCACAGAGACCAAGAGAAACTGCCCAGCAGGGCCTAGTCCCCACAGACTGAACCGGCTTGGAGGCTTCCAGCCACTGAGCACAGAGCAACAGGAGACCACAGCTGGCGGTTCCTGTGTTCTACTTGTGTCTTCTTTCCCTGGCCAGGCAAAGGCTTCCTTGGTCCTCCAAGCCCCATGATGGGGAGTCACCATACCTCGGTGACACCCACACTCCCCACAGAGCTGAGTCTCCTGCAGCCACTTGCCCCTAGCTACCAGAATGTCATGCAGAAGGCTGGGCCACAGACAATCTCCTCGGCTCGCTCAGGTGTTGTGTGCTGGGGGGGGGGCAGGAGGGGGGAGAGGGTCACTCAACCCCCTGTGTCCACATTTTCAGCAGCAAGGCTTGTGCAGTTGGACAAAGCCAGATGCTTCAGCTAGCACATGCTGGGGACCGCAGCTCGAAGCCCATCTATCCCTGCGCACATGGTGCTATCCACACTGCACAGATGGGAAACTGAGGCAGGGGGTTGAGGATGCTGACACTCTGAAGGGAGACTGGCTTATCTACATCCTACTCCTTGGTTTTGTTGCGATTATTTTTGTTGGTTCCTTTGTGATACTGGGATTCGAACTCAGTGCTGGCTAGGCAGAGGCATTACCACTCTTTGCTTCCTTTTTAATTGTTTTTTTCTTCTCATAGGATCTTACAGTTATGCCTGAGCTGCCCTGAGCCATGATCTTCCTTCTACCTGTGTCTCTTCATTCAGAACTGGAATGACCAGCGTATGCTCCCATTCTGGTTTATCTGCTGAGATGGCAGAGCTCATTAAATGTCAGGCAGACCTTAAACCTTGACCTTTTCCATCTCTGGGATCACCAGAACTAAGAGGCTTGTTAATATGACCTAAGGATTAGACAATTATCCTGTCCCTAATAAGAGAAAGTCACTGAAAATCAAAGCTGTCATCCGTGGGCTGAGGCTATGGGTCAAATGGTAGGGTGCCAGCCATGAGCAACAAAGGCTCAGTAAGAGCCAGGCCCCAGTGGCTCATGCCTGTAATCCTAGATATTCAGAAGGCTGAGATCTGAGGATCAAGCTTTGAAGCCAGATGAAGAAAAAAATAAAAACTGAGATTTTTATCTCTAATTAACCAATTAGCCTTGAGGGAAAAAGCCAAGTGAGTTCAAGCCCAGATTCTACCTCCTCACACACACAAAAAAGGAACATTTGGTACCTCACCAAGTGTTAGCTCCTTTCCATCTGATTAAACTGAATCTAAATAAGTGTCATAAAAAAACCAACCTGTCAGTTATGAGTACTTTTAGTGCTCATATAATTCTATCCATTTAATGATCTGATCCTCATCACCAGTATCTGAGAGAAAAAAGGCGGAGACACAGCCCAAAGAACTCAGAACTGGCATTACAAGGCATGCAGTTCTAGGTTAGGTTAGGCTTTAGCACCGAGCAACCTTCGATAATCCTTTATCTTTTCTGTGCTCCCACAGCCAGGATAGAAAACTGGACGGATATGCAAGCTCCTCTCTTTGGATGAAACTTTTCGGTGATAAAAATGAAAATGCCTTAAAATACACACACACACACACACACACACACACACACACACACACACACACAGAGTTGTCAGAGTCAGGAAAGATTCCTCCTCCTCGTGGCTCTGATGGACTGTGTAACCTGGGAACGGTCTCAGAACCTCTGGCCCTTAGCTCCCCACACTGTAAACGAGAAGGAAGGGTAAGCCAGACCACGCTCAGGGCGTCTTTCAGCTCAAGTCTCACTGACCTGTGACTGGAAACTCCTAAAACTGAAAGGCAATCCCAGAATTCATCCACTTTATGGGCGCTTGAACCCCACGTGTGGCACTCTGGCAGCATGGCCACCCAGCCCCTACTTGCATGCCTCCAGGGACTGGCACTCGCTACCTCCAAAGCTGCCAGTTCCATCCCAATCCCAGGCAGATTACCAGCTTTTCTGCACATCAAACTAAAGTCTTGAAGTGCAGCGGTGGCTCACGCCCAGAATCCTAGCTACTCAGGAGGCTGGGATCTGAGGATCGAGTTTGGAAGCCAGTATGGGCAGCAAAGTCCATGAGCCTCTTATCTCCAATTAACCAGCAAAAAGCTAGAAGTAGAGCTGTGACTCAAGTGGGAGAGCGTTAGCCTCGAGCTGAAGAGCTGAGGGACAGCGCCCAGAGTTCAAGCACCACAACCGACCAAAAAAAAAAAAAAAAAGACACCAATCAGGATGAGCTGACCTAAGTGAAGGGGGTTGGTTGCTGACAAGGCCAGGGTGCCAGGATTCTCAGGGAGTTGGGGGTGGGGCGGTGCTTTCAGGCTGGGAGAAATCCAGATTGTTCTCAGTAAGAAGAGCTTAGTTAACATGGAACCAGGGTGTGCCAAATCCACTATAAAGTGTCATCCTCCCTCCCTCCACCCCATTCGGTTTTGGGGGGCAGGAGGAGGCTACCTCGTGGCTCCTGGGACCCTCCAGGGCTTCGGGTCACAGGCCGGGCGGGTGCCACCATCTCACACTTGCACGCCAGGTGGTCCTCTAGGGTCACTGTGGCCTTCTGAAAAGTCGGCTTCTTCCGCACAATCTGGATCTTTCTCACCTGGAAGGCAGAGCCACAGAAGCCGGCTGCGGAGGCTGCAGGGGCCAGAGCCCAGGCCGCCACATGGCCAGCCCCTCCCAACCAGCCACGCTGGGGATCTTTCCTAGAAAGAGCAGCAAGCACGCTGGCCCAAACAACCACAGGGCCTTGCCCGCTACTCCTGTCGCAGTTTTTCCATCAAAACAGGCCCTTTGACCCGGCAGACCTGGCCAACCTGGCTTCTGGCTTTGCCATTGCCCCCGGGGCCCCCCCAGAAAGGGAAAAGCATTTCCGGATGAAGTTCAATGCCTGTGCAGAGTGCGCATGCCTGGAGCGCCAGCCAAGGCCAGGGGCTGTGGCAGAGAGACGGCTCTCTGGAAGGAAGTGGGGGGAGGTCAGCTGTCAGATGCCCATCCACAGAGCTGGAAGCATGGGCACAGGAGATATCATGACCATGGGCACTGGGGTGGAGTGTGGCATTTACAACCGGGCCAAGCAGGGACGGAAGATGGGCAGCGTCGTGGGCACCGCTGAGGGCTGGGGAAGGGAATGTGGCTAAGTAACCGCAGCCCATATCCCAGGCCATCCTGAGTGGTGTGTAGGCAGGGTGCAAAAACCTAATCAGAATACAGTCAAAGCTACTCTACCCTGGAAAGGGGGGACGGGGAGGGGTCCATAGCCTCTGCCCTGCCTGCTTGGCCTTCTCCTAGGGACCAGTGTCCTGTGCCACTACCCAGAGACAGCAGCTGCCGGGGACCATCTGCAGGGGTACTGCCCTGGCTCTTGCGGTGTCTGTCACCAAGAGGGTTCTCTGTGTCCTCCTTGCGAAAGGCACAGCTTGCTAACCAGGACATAAGCAGATGTGGACCTGCCCCAACCACTCTAGTAATCAAGTGTTTTAAATACATGGCTCTCCGAGGGACATCCTGGGATTTTGTCCCTCTGTGTTAAGAGACCTAGCCCGGACCCGGCTCGGTATGGGACTGGTGTCTTTGGTCTGGGCTGGGTTGGCATCAGCATATTAGTTCTGAGTGTCCTAAAGGTGCTCTTCTCTGCACTGAGCTACGGACCTGCCAGGCAGGCTGGTAACCAGGTGCCAGAAAGCCTGGTCAACCTACCCTGGCTAGGGTGTGGCCTGTGGGGGAGGAGCCACATTGCGTGGGCGTGGCTTTATCCTGTGGATTGGTGGAGCCCATGGGCGTGGTCAGAGCATGTGGGCCGGCTGGGGCGTGGCCCCGGGACGGGGTATTGTTGTAGGCGGGACCAGTCATGGGCGGGGCCTGATGTGGGCAGGGGCTGCGCACCTGCACAGGCCGCAGCTGCACTTGTGTGGGGCGGCATTGCACGTTGCGATTGTTGCAGCAGCCGGAGCAGCGCTGCACCTCCACGCAGGGCGGCCACACCAGAAAGTTGGCATTGGCGTGGTCGATGAGACGCCGCGAAATCTCGAACACCTCGGTGCGTGTCTTGCACTCGGCAATCATGGCTGGCTCTGCTGCTGTCAGGGAACCTGGCGGGGTTGGGGAGTCGGGGGAGAGGCAGCATCAGGAGGGGCTGCTTGGAACCCCACCTGCTGGGGGAGCTCCGTGAACACCTGAACCACCCTTCCCACCTCCTTCAACCTGATGGAAGCTTCAAGACCTGCCAATTATCAACTGTGGGGACTTGGGAAGGAGTCTGGCTATCCTAAGTCTCAGTTTCCCCATCTCAAAACGGACAGAGAGATCTATACCTTGCCTCCAAGACCCATGGCGAGGATCAAGTGGGCTCATTCAGGATGGGGCATGTTATCAACACTTAGTGCATGCCCGGTCTCTGACTCTTACTCATAATCTTTTGTGTTCCTTGATTCAGATAAGGGTTTGCTCAACACAAAGCTTCCTACAAGGATCCTACTGAACCAGTGGGCCATGAGCACTGTTCTAGTATGGTTGTGGTTTGGCTGTGTCTTTCACAGCCTTCCTATACTCAGCTATGCAGGAGGAGGAGGAAGCCCTACCCACAGCAGATCCTCAACCAAGGAGAAACTGAGTCTCAGAGAACAAAATCAGCCTCCCCCTCCACCTAGTTTTACAAGTTGAGGAGTAGAGCTCTTTCCCTCCCCCAGCCCTCCCCTCTTCCGGGTTGTGGGCCTGGATGGCATCCCTGAGCTTTTTTGCTTAAGGTTAGTGCTCTAGCACTTTGAGCCACAGCTCTACTGCTAGTTTTCTGGTGGTTAATTGGAGATAAGAGTCTCACAGACTTTCCTGCCCCAGCTAGCTCTGCACTTCGATCCTCAGATCTCAGTCTCCTGAGTGGCTAGGATAATAGGAGGAAGCCACCGGTGCCCTGCTGAGTAGAGTTCTAGACTGTAGTTTCTACCAACCATATCGTCAATGTTTTGGAGAGTGCAGGTGGTAAAACAGAGGGAGGTACCTGCCTCAGTGGGATGGCTTCCTGGAGCGTGGTGATCTACCTACTACCTTGTTTTGCCCTCTACCAGGGAGAATACAGCTCCACGTAGATGGCCTAACGCAGCAATCCCAGGTTCCACTGGACCCACTGTCCTAGACCATGGGTGTCCCTGGGTCACCATGGAAACATGCAGCCCACAAGGGACTGGATTGTATCATTTCTAAGCTATATGACCCCACCTACTTCTCTCTGGAGCTGCTATCCAGTTCTGGGGAATGGGGTTTATCTGTCTACTCCAGAGTTGAAGGAATAACTGGGTGTAAAAATAACTATATTTAGAAGACATAGCATGAGGGCATCGGACAAAATGACTCAAGTCCAGTGATGACTTCTCTCCTCATCCAGCTCGTCTGGAGTACAGGAAGGATTTGAGAATGACCTCCAAGCCCTGGGCAGGCTGCATGCCTCAGTTCTCCTTCCCTGGCTCCCATTCTTTTTTTTTTTTTTTTCTGTCGGTTGTGGGGCTTGAACTCTGGGTCTGGGTGCTGTCCCTCAGCTCTTCAGCTTAAGGCAAGTGCTCTATCGCTGGAGCCACAGCGCCACTTCTGGTTTTCTAGTGGTTTATTGGGAGATAAGTGTCTCACGGACTTTGGTGCCCAGGTGGCTTTGAACCGTGATCCTCAGATCTCAGCCTCCTGAGTAACTAGGATTACAGGCGTGAGCCATGGCGCCCATTCTTTCGAAGGAAATGCTACTGGGGCCCTGGGGCTTACCTAGGCTCCTCCTCCCTCGAGATGAGCTTCCAGGTTCCCCTACGGAGTGTGACCTGGTCAAGTTCAAGTCCAACTCAGTCCCATCTTCATCTGCAAGAGAAAGCACAGTCAGACCCTTTGGGCCAGGCCCCCCACCATGGGGTGAGGGCTGACAGGCAAGGCCCACCCCAAAGTACCAGTTTCCCTTCAACTCTTTGTAAACCAGGGTATCTAGGTAAAGACCCCTCCCCCCTTCAGGGGGATGGGGCTAAGGGGTGGAGCCTGACCACATCTGAGGGGGGGGGGCCTCCGGCTCCATTCTGGGTTCTTTTAGCCACAATGTTTTTGGCCAGAACCCATGTCAATGGAGTTAAAAATAGCCCTTCTCCCTTAGCTACTGTAGGTTGGCCTCCAGGGTGGGGCAGAGACCCAGAGCACTGGCCACTGTTCCCAGTGCCCTCCACAGAGCCCAGTTCCCATAGGAAGTGCTGAATGGAGAAATTCCCAGAATCCCCGGGGGGACAGCAGGCCCTGAACGACAGCCCCTCCAGAGCCTGGACAATGGCCCTGCTGCGCTGGGGAGAGGGTGGAGAGGGATGGGGTGGAGAGGGATGGGGTGGGAGCTGAAGGCAAAGAAGGAATGGGATGGGCCTGGTGGGAGTGGGGTAGGGGCACACCAGCCACCAGCCCTGCTCCCATCCTCCCCATCTCCGTGTGTGTGTGTTTGTGTGTGTGTGTTTGTGTGTGTGTGTGTGTGTGTGTTGGTTCTTGAGCTTGAACTCAAGAGGACCTAGGCACTGTCCCTGAGCTTTTTTTTTTGCTCAAGGCTAGCACAGCTTCGCTCCATTTCTGCCTTTTCTGGTGGTTAATAGGAGATTAGAGTCCCCTGGACTTTCCTGCTCCTCAGATCTCAGCCTCCTGAGTAGTTATTACAGGCGTGAGCCACCAGCACCTGCCTCCCTCCCTCTGGCTTTCTCTAAGCCTTGGCTTTCCTTCCTCCACGCACTTCCTCTACTCGCTCCTGCAGGCCATGTACTTCTCCTCCAGTACTCTTTGGAGACATCAGTCCCCTCCAGGGAACTAGAGTGTGAGGAAGTGGCTTTGAACTTGACCTTGAAGGTGGGCAGGTTCGGTCTGTCCTAGGAAACAGCCTCCTGCCCGTCTGTCTCACAGCTCACACTCTCCCCAGCCCACTGGTCCCATCAAAGACAAAGGCTCCTGTCTTGGTCGAGGGCCGCGCCCCTTGTCCAGGATCCAGGGGGATCCTGTTTGGAGAAGACTGTCCTGCGGGTAGCCTGTGACTGGTCCACTTCCGTCCAGTCTGACGGCTCCTACGTCAGCGTCAGTGTGTCTGTCTGTCCCTCTTGCTCCCTTCTTTGTCCCCTGCCATCTCTGGAATGTCCCTGATGGGGAGGAGATGGGGAAAGATGGGCTTTTGTGGAAAGGTTAAGTTGATTAGGGAAAAAATAGCCACATGGTCCCTCGGAACAGGCAGGCTATTGAAAACCTCGAGATGCTGACCCCCACCAGGGGCGTGGGGGGGCTTGGGAGGGGGGAGCGGGTGGAGGACCTTGGAGAGAAATAGCAGAAAGGCTAAATTTGGAAGTTGCCCCATTGTGTGGCTAGGGTTGGCCAGTCGGGCATGGGTGGGTGGGGGCGGGAGCTGGGGGGGGCTGGCAAACAATAGGTGGGCCCAGCTGGGGCCCCCTCCTGCCTGCCTCACCCCCCCCACCCCAGGCAGGATTGAAAGGACCTGGGAATGCTTTTGAGAAGGAGCCAGGGGCCCAACGGGAGAGGAAACAAAGGCAGGAAATGCTGTTCCTCCGCAGATAGCGTCTGGGCAAGGATTACAAAGTGACAAAGAGACAGACCCCAGAGGGAAGGGACCCGGGGGTGGGGGTGGGGGTGCTGACCAGGGCTCCAGGGACCAGGCCAGAGGTTAGAATAGAATGGAATTCGCTCTGAAGACAGCGTTTATAAATACATTCCCAGCCCAGCCTGCTGGCACCGTGGGCCTGGCCACGTGTGTGCCACCAAGCACGTGCCCGCCTGTAGAACTCGCTCTCTCTCACTCTTGGGCACGGCAGGGCTGCCAGCTGGTTCCAGTCAGGTGTCCCCGGGAGACCTTATAGACCAGGCCCTGGGCCAGAGGGGCAGGGAGATGGCTCTTCTGTCACCACCCTCCCTGGCTAAATACTTGGCGCGTGCCCTGGGCACCTTCTTCCTGCCTGCCCTGCTCCAGGCACCCCCACCAGCTGCTCCCAGCCAAAGCCACACTTGGGTGTTCCTCCTGCCACACCCACATCCCAGGTACTGACCCAGCTACACACTCCACCCCGCCCCACTGGGCGTGGCCAGGCCCTCCCAGGGATGTACCTGGGCCCTGGCTTCTGGATGTGAAAGGGAAAGGGGCCCCCCTGCCCCACCCCTGATGCCCAAGGAGGCCAGAGTTCTGGGCAAGGATCCGATTTACCTACGGAGTCTCCGTGTAGCAGTCGCTGGAGGTCATCGAAGGAACGGATGGAGTGGTCGCTCAGCATCTCATAAAGCTCCTCAGGAATGGGGTCCCCCTGCCAGGGAGACACCAGGGGCTTAGTGTGGGGGGGGGAGACAGAAAGGGCCACCACCAGCCACCTCTTTCCTCCCGTGGAAAGTTCCTACAGGGTCCTTCTGTCACCAACAGCCAGGCTGGAGGCAGGCAGGCTGGAGGATCCAAGCTGACAACCAGGAACTCCAGGGCCTGGAGGACTGAACTGCCACGATCCAGCTCAGATGCTACACCCCACGCCCCCAACAACCCCAGCTTGCTCCCAGCTAGACTCGTTAGTCTCCATCTGTCTCCTTCTATCAGACTACAGGTTCCGGGAAGCCTCCGACAATCTGCTTTCTCTCTGCTTCTCCCTCCACCTCAGGCATCCCAGGAGACCTCGTTATCCCCATTTTACAGATCAGGAAACAGAGGCCCAGATAAGGGGCCTACAGCCAGTCCACTATCAGCACAAGCCCCATTCGGACTGTGCTGGCAGAGCCTGTACCCCAGCCGCCCAGGTATGATGCTTGTAGTGTGGTCCGGGGCAGTCACGGGTTCCAGGGATAACCAAGTTAGTCTCACATGAAAGAGGAGAGAAGGGAATCCTCGGACAGCGCCCGGGAAACCTGAAAGCTGACCCGGGCCCCAGGCCCAACCAGAGCCTATTTTTAGAGCCCCTCTGGCCTGTCACCACACTCACTTGAAACTTAGTAAGTGTTTTAACAGGGCTCACTAAGCAGCTTCCTCCAGGGAACCCGCGGACCCCCAGCGCAGCCTGACAGGAAGGTCAGGGCCACAACAGCCACAGTGGTCCCTGAAGCCCCAAGGGCTTCATGCCAAAGGTCCTGAGAGAGGCCAGGGGCAGATGGGGTTGCAGTCAGATCCTCCAGGTGCTGACCGGCAAAGGGAATTGGCAGGATGCGACAGCAATGCACGTACCCGGTGCACACACGCAGGGGCACACATACACAGAGGACCCCATGGATTGGAGGATCAGGAGGCCCCACCTTACATGTTTCCCCACCCTATTTGGTTCATTGGAGGTGAAGAAGGCATGTAGTAGATGCTCAATAAATACTGTCAAAATGCGTGAGGGATTCCACGTTGCTCCTTGGGGTCTTCTCCCAAGGAGAGAGTCTCTCACCTGGACTGGCACTGGTAACATTTCCCAGCTGCCGATTGTGAGCCAGACAGTCAGCTATCGGAAGACTGTACGAACCAGTCTTAAAGAGCCTGGCACTACATGTAGAGCGCTGTATCTTTAGCTTTAATGGTTTACTTGTATCTGGGTGATTATTTTCCTTTCTACTTATTACTGTGTGTTAAGACTCCCCGTGTATGAGTACAGATTGCCCTTTCTTGCACTGTATTTAGAAATCTCTGCATTACCCCTAGGCATTTGTTCATTAATAGGGGGTAAGGAGAGGAAAAGCTTGTAATAATGGACTTTCCATATTAAACTGTGCATCCACATTCCATTCCCCCCACCCCCCAAAAAAAGGCTGGCACTATTTATCCCCATCTACCAGATGAGAAAACAGAGGCTTAGAGAACTAAAACAGGGAGCCACCAGTCGAGACAGCTAGTGAAGTGGCAGAGCTGAATCCTGTTCAGACTTCTGAGTGCAGCAGTAGAGCAATCTCTGGCCCTAAATCTCATCAGGGCAGAGGTTGAGAAACCCTTCTGCCAGCCAAACCTGGGTCCTCAGATGTACCAAAAATATAAAATAAAATAGATCTCTGCTTCTGCATCCTTTGAATGGGGCTAATCATACCGCATTTGGTGTTACCAGGAGGCATAATTACCCACAGTGGAGCAGCCAGCAAATAATGGGTACTTAATGAGTTATTATTGTCATCATCATTAATTCTTGCAGTATGGCTCCTGGGAGGGCAGCAGCGAGTGGCACACGTGCCCGGGGGCCACCAGCGCAGAACGTTGGCAGTGGTGACAGTGGGTGGGTAGAGAGTGGACAGGGACACAGGAAATGGCACCATAGCCCCATGCTGACAGCAGCGGGGCTGTGTAGGCTGGCCAGTCCCTTCTGGGACTTCCACCGGCAGTGGAGGTGGCGGCAGTCCACCTGTGGTCAGCTTCAGGATGCCATGCCCTGAGGAGCGGGGACTTGCAGGGCACCTGTTCCTGCCCAGAAGCCCTCTGGGTGTGGGAGGACGAGCTGCCGGCGGCGGTGGTTTCCTGGCCATAGGTTCTGGAGGTCTGCGGTGGGGGGGGGGACCCCACTTTGATGCTCATTGACAGGAAAGGCAGCCTGGCACTCTGAAGGAGCTGCCCCAGATCTCTAGCCCGGTAGCGTCAGGGTGTGGCAGGGAAAGCATTTGGGCAAAGCCAATCCTAGCAGCCAAGGCAAACAGCCTCCCCACCCCATCCCCCTCAGCAGCTGCCAAGAGGTAGGAAGGGCACGAGGGAGTGTGAGCCCAGGTGAGTTACCTGCTCCCCACTGGGCTGGCAGATCAAAGGGGCTTGAGCTCCACCCTCCACCTGGGCCCAGTGCACATGTGCGTGCACATTCACACACACACACACAGAGCCTCCTGCTACTGCTCTAAGAGAGGCACGCTCTCAGCCCAGCACCCAGGGGCGTTGTCTGCGCTGGCAGAGGCTGACAAGGCCTCCCAGGGCCTGCCTGCCAATCTCAGGCCTTATTTAGATTGGATAGCAAAGCCAAGCCCTTTGAAGAAGCCCTGACAGGGCAGACCACAGAAGCCATTTCCAATAGCTTCTCCCACCCATCAGTTCCCTTCTTCATGGCTCCTGGGATTCTCTCTCCCACTCTGCCTCCTCCACCCCCAGCAGCCCAGCCCACCAGCCTCCCCCACAGCTGACTGGAGGGGAGGAAGCAAAGGGCCCAGCTGCTCCATGTTATCCTGGAGGTTCCGTGCGATCACTGCCCGGGGTTCCAGCTAACCCAACCTGCTCTGTTTTAGGAGGTGGAGACTGAGGCCCAAGCTAGAGATACACAGAACCTTTACAGCCTGCTTTCCCATCTGTGTCTTCCCCTCATTCCCTCCAAGAGTGACAGGGAAAAACATGCCAGTCTCTCACCAAGAGGAGGCGGGTGGGAAGATGGATGCCCAGGGGAAGGCAGTGTGCCACGTGGGACTACCCTCAGGCTATGCTTACACAGCACCCGGGCCCAGCCTCCCACGCCCCCCACCAAATACACCTTTCTCTATCCTTGTTTGCTGATTATCCACCAAGCTTCAGGGATCTCTCTCACAGAGGATAACCAAGACAAAACTCTGATCTGGTTCATCTTCTGCTGGGGAAAGGGGGTCATAACTCAATGATACAGAAAAGTGGCTGTGAGCCTAGCATTGGTGACGCACACCTGTAATCTAGGTACTCAGGAGGCTGAGATCTGAGCATCACTGCTTGAAGCCAACCTGGGCAGAAAAGTCCATGAGACCCTTTTCTCTAATTAGCTAGCGCAAAACCAGAAGTGGAGCTGCAGCTCAAGTAGTAGAGCATCCGCCTCAAATGAAAAAGCTTAGAGACTAAGTTCAAACCCTAGTACCGCCACACACAAAAAGAAAATGGTTGTCACAGAAGGAAGAGAAGGGAAGACATTTCCAAGGATGCAGTTAAATATCTCAGATCAATTTTCCTCTGTATTGTGCATACATATGCATACACACACACACACACACACACACACACACACACACACACACACACACACACTTGCAGGCTCTTACACCAGAACCTCCAAATTCTGTCTGACTTTGACCTTCCCCCAGCTGCGGGGCAAGCAAACCAGGAGGAAGCTGGGTGGCTGGAGCCTGTGAGCCCCTCTGCTGCTTCCCGGCACAAGGGTTCTGCTGAACATCATGTGACAGAGTCACCTTCTGGGAACTGAGCTCAGCTGACAGAGGAGACCTACCTCAGGAGGGTCCACAGACCCTCCCCCAGCCCTCAGAGCTCCCAAGCTGCTTCTTCTCAGGTGCTGAGGCTCCACCAACAGCTTGATCCAAGCAAGCTAGGGGACGCCGCCAGCCCTCCCGGAAACCCCCTGCACTGTCCAGTTAGGAGCTGGACCGAACCTGCTGGGGACAGGTGGCTTCCCCTCTTGGTGTCTTCCCCCATGGCCTAGGAGGCTTCCCAGGAAGGTGCTCAGCAAACTGCAAAACACAAAGTGCCATGGCGGGTTCCTGCAGCCCGGCAGCCAGCCCTGCGTGCGTTGGGGGGAAACTGGAAATGGTAAGGAGAGGCCGTGGACAACCCCCACCAATGGCTGGCCTCCCCAGAACACACGGGGTCGGGCCACGAGGAAGATGGGAAAGAGGCACTGCGCCGTGGACAGCAGCCCTCCTCGCGTCTCAGAGGCTCATTTGAAAGGAGGAAAAGAACGCTCCGGACATTCCCGCACACCAAGGACACTTCACGCCTTTTACTGCCACATATTGGTGGTTCAAAAAACACACACGGAGAGAGGGGTAAGGTTTGAGCCGGCGGGCTGCTCGGGCCAGGCCTACCCCCTCCCTCACCCCCAGGGGCCGTGCAGCCAGGACCTCGGGGGACGCTGCCCCTCGCTCCTGGGGGGGGGCCTCAGGAAGGAAACGGGGGTCGCTACCGAGGCGGCGAGGCGCCAGGCCCCACCGGGGGCCCACCTGTTGCGCGGGGGCGAACACCTGACGCCGGCTGTTCCGGGGCTGTGCGTGCCGGTGCGTG